TTTTGACTATTGCAACAGTGATTAAATTAAAAGAAGCCTCCGAACATGAATGCACCCCAATACCAAGAACATTGTTTCATGGTATGTACGATTCCATTGCTCCGCTTTGTCAGCAGCATCATGATCAAAATGGACGTCAGTTTGAGAACATTCAGTGAAAAAACTATAAAAATGGTACTTCTAAATATCTTTACATTTTCTCAGTAATAAAATTAATAGAAAAGCCAATTTAAAAATTAGGTAAAATGTGTATACATTTTTTGGGACACCCTGTATTTGCTGTAAAAGTGATCCTGCAAAACTTATGCAGGCATGTAGTCCATGTTGTATGTATATTAGGGTATTTTTTAACTCGACTGTACAGGCATAAGTTCATTAAGATTTAATGGCAGTAAGCCGGCACCATGTGTACGTTAATCTTCGAAAACACGGAAAAATCCTGGAGATGCGGAGCAGAGTAGCGGTCCGGGATGATGACACCCTTCAGGGACCTATGGTCACCGCAGGGGCACCCGCTATCATTTTCGACCTTTAAAACTGTGGAGAGGCGATAATTTTAAGGGTTTTTTAGTCAGAAACTTCGATACAGGTCCACAATAGACATGATGTATCGAAATCCCGATAGCCAGAATGGGCTTCCGATAATGGTTACTGGCATATGAAGCTAAGGCAGCGTTATAATGCCCTCGAACAGTTATCCAAGAGGTAGGTTATAGAGACAAAGTGTTTCGTAAGGGTCAAAATGCATGGACTGAAAAAATGTATTTTTGATCAACGATTGTAACACTCGAGGCACAAGCGGAGCTTGAAATGCGAGCGAACCTGATAATTTTTAGACAGTCTTCTAAATTATTTTAATTCTTTATCAGCAAAAAAATTATTTTCGATTTTAAACTGTATAAATAAGCTTGTATTTCATCCCGCTGAACGTTTTACAACAGCCTGTTTGCTAAATTCGTCCTCGATCTGCTTTGTGGCACCCACGCTGCTGCTTACTTCGTCCTATCTTGCACTTCTGCATTTATGAACAAGGTTTAAGTATTCTGTTTGGACTCATAAAGAGACAGTGAGCTGCGAATAGAAATGACTTAGTCTAGAAACCTGGAATCTATGCCTGCCAATACTGCGTATTTCCACGCCTCGTAACTTCGAGTTAACTTGAACTAGTTACCGATTTCTCCGTTTTTAGCCTATGATCTCAGAAGTTTGAGTCGGATAGAAATGACCAGCAACAGTGGTGGCCGTACGTGTAGCGACTTGGAACTTACGGAATTCGTTGGGATTCGTGTAACTTAGAATATTCTGTTAAGTCATATTCATTAGGCGGGTTACGAGCTCCTTAACCGCAAGTATCGGAAGAACCACAAGGAACTCGAAAAAGCAAATGCTAGGTTTACGCGTTCTCTCGAAAAATTAGATGCTCTGGATGGTTTTGGAAAGGCAACGACTTTTATAGACAATGTATTGAATGAAGTGTGTGGTTTCAAGAGAAAAGTACGTTGTTGCTTGGCAGTGTTATTTTAGGCTGATGAATATTTTTCTGAAGAAATGGAGCTCGTGGCGGCTTGTAAAAGGCGCATAGAACATTTAAAGGAAGTATCCGAATTGGAAGGAAAGAGCCT